CTGTTGTTGCAAGGGAGCTTGAAACGGCTGCGGTCACTTCCTCCTCCCCTTCTGTTGCTGCTGCTGCCCCCTGCTGCTGCTGCAGCCTGCTGCTGCTGCTGCAGCCCGCTGCTGCTGCTGGCAGCACAGGCGGCCCCACATCGGCCTCAATAACGCTGCGGTCCCTGGGCAGCATCTGCAGCAGCAGCAGCAGTTGCTGCTGCTGTTGCTGCAGTTGCTGCTGCATCTGCTGTTGCTGCCGCATCTGCTGCGGTTCTTGCTGCTGCTGTTGCTTCTGCAACTTCTGTTGCAGCACTTGCTGCTCTCGCTGCTGCTGCTGCTGCTGCTGCTGCTGCTGCTGCATCACCTACGCGCTGAGTAGCCAACTTAAATAAATACTAATCATCGTCATCATATGTCAAAAGAAGAACCTGCTGCTTCTGCTGCTGCTTCTGCTCCTGCTGCTGCTGCTGTTTCTGCTGCTGCTCCTGCGGCTGTTTCTGTTGCTGCTTCTGCTTCTGCTGGTGCTTCTGCTGCTGCTCCTGCGGCTGTTTCTGCTGCTGTGTCTGGGCCTGCTGCTTCTGCTGCTGCTTCTGCTGCTTCTCCTGCTGCTGCTGCTGCTCCTGCGGCTGTTTCTGCTGCTGTGTCTGCGCCTGCTGATACTTCTGCTGCTGCTTCTGCTGCTGTTTTTCCGCCTGTTGCTGCTTCTGCTGCTGCTTCTGCTGCTGCTTCTGCTGCTGCTTCTGCTGCTGCTTCTGCTGCTGCTTCTGCTGCTGTTTCTGCGCCTGTTGCTGCTTCTGCTGCTGCGTCTGCTGCTGTTTCTGCGCCTGTTGCTGCTTCTGCTGCTGCTTCTGCTGCTGTTTCTGCGCGTGTTGCTGCTTCTGCTGCTGCTTCTGCTGCTGCTTCCGCCAACACTCTTCCAGCACGAGCCTCTCTGATTTGTTCGATCTCCTGTTGCTGCTGCTGCTTATGCTGCTGCTGCTGTTGCTGCTGCTGTTCTATGGAGCGAGCAGTTCTGTCAATGCTGCGGAGATATCTGTGCGCCACCTGGCCGAAGCGTGCGTATACTGCAACCGTCCCCTGCAGCAGCAGCAGCAGCAGCAGCAGCAGTAGCAGCAGTAGCAGCAGCAGCAGCAGCAGCAGCAGTAGCAGCAGCAGCAGCAGCAGCAGCAGCAGCAACAGCAGAAGAAGCAACAAACCCTCAATGTTTCACCCCCTCTCCCAATATAAGCAGCGAAAGCAAAGGCAGCAAACGGTGCATGCAACAGCAGCAGCAACACCAGCAACAGTGGCAGCAGCAGCAGCAGCAGCAGCAGCAGCAGCAGCGGCAAGAGCCGCAGCAAACACCAGCAGCAGCAACAGCAGCAACAGCAGTAGCAACAGCAGCAACAACAGCAGCAGCTGTTTGTACCTCGCGGTTCGAATCCCTTGGAGACAACCCGCTACTCT